TGACCGAAAGAAGTTCAAGACAACTCCCTATGCAGGTAAAGTGCTCCTCACAGTTTTCTGGGACGCCCAAGGAGTTTTGTTGCTGGACTTTTTGGAGGTTGGAACTATCAATGCTATGCGCTACTATGACACCCTGTCGAAATTGAAAGAGGCGATTCAGAAAAAGCGGCCTGGCCTTCTCACATCTGGCGTTCTGCTGTTGGATGACAATGCCAGACCACATTCGGCGACGGCAAAGCAAAACCATATTGCAACTCTTGGTTTGGAGCGCCTACACCATCCGCCATACAGTCCTGATCTCGCACCAAGCGACTTCCATCTGTTTCCGGCTTTGAAGAAAAATCTCGGGGGAAGGCGCTTTGGAAGCAATACTGAAGTGAAAGAAGCCGTTCAACGCTTCTTCCATATGCAAAGCCCTGATTTTTTTTCCTGGAGGGCTTTTTGAAGCTTATCAAGCGATATGACAAATGTCTCAATGTACTTGGTACCTATGTGGAAAAATAAAGGTATGTTATATCTTTAATGTCTCATTCTATTTTTTGACTTTCATACACAACTTTGACCACAGTCAACAGGGAAAACTTATTTTTCAACTTACCCTCAGGTTAACCCTTTAACAGGCGGTGGTAAATATCTTACCACTAAGCAATTTGTTTTCTAGCAGCATACGGGAAATTATTTACCAACGCCCGATATCAGGAATTTTCCTCTGGAACCAGAGCTTCACATTTTCTGTAATAGATGGCTGTAGAGGCCACGTAAACCGCAACATTTCTGCATTCATCCAGTTTTCAAGCAAAATGGAGAGGGTAAGCACGTACTCTTTTCTAATTTTATTGTGTAATGATATATAAAAATACGTTAAAAGCTATATATTCATATATTTTGTACCTTAAAGGTTTGATAGTTAAATTGTATTAGGCATTTAAAAAATTATAGCGAATTATTTTGTTTTATACATAATTGAATTTGGTGGTAAATTATTTACCACGGCACGCTTAGTGATTTTAGTAGGTGGTAAATAATTTACCACTGCCTGATAGAAACGCAGTTTTACTAATATGTTTCGCTTTAGAAATAGCATTTTGTTTGGCGTGGTACTTGATTTCTTTGTATATCTAATACTTTTATATAGCATTTCAATAATTAATTATTTCTAATATTAATTATTATAAATATTATGGAAAATATTTTAGCGTTTATTTACGATTACATAAATATTTATGTATTTAGAAATTAGAATTAAAATATTACTTTAGAATGCTATAAAGGTAATATTTTGATCAGTATGTTCAAGAGATTTCAAAAAATAAGTAACTAATTAAATGTAACGAATATTATTTTAGGTAAACATGCATTGAAGAAAAAAAAAAAAAAAAGTTAATCACCGAGGAAGCTGTAGAGCTTTATTTTGCACTGCCTTTCAGATCCTGAAGATTCCGAAAAAGGACTCCCTCACGCAAGAAGAACTGCAGGCCTTTTTAGGAAATCCATAATTATGAAGGGGATCAATAAATTACCTTAGATTTGCACTGGTCTTCTGACTCTTTTTTTCAATAATCAAGAAATTCTCGTCAATTATGGCAGCAAAGAGATTAAAAAAATATCCTTTCAAATTTGCATATCAATGGCAATCAAAAGGCTGTCCCTTGAAATGAGTCTGAATTTGACAAATTACAGTAAATGTGTTCTTTGATTCACCCATTTAGATAAAAATTCAATAAAAATATTCAGACTTCAATCTATTGATGAAAAAAACAGTAAAATTCAATAGGAAAGTCCACAATGAAGCAATATATGCCAGGAAGCCTGTAAAAAGAGTTTATAAGATTTGGGCTAGATCAAACGCATCAATTGGTTACCTATATCAGTCTGAACTTTACACTAGGAAAAAGACTTGAATTTAGGTTGAGAGTAGCTCGCAGCCTAATTGGAGGCTTCTCTAGTAAAAAACGAAAACTGCAATCAAACTGGGTATCAGCAAAAAAGGAAAATGCTATTCCAAGGGTCAAGATCCGAACAACTAATGTTAGAACACACATACCAGTCAGAGGAGAAAGTCACAGAAGGTGCAAATATTGCAGCACAAATGTAAATCAGAAACATACCGAGGTGTTATGTTCAACATGTCATGTATCATTCTGTGCTGCTTCATGTTATAAATAAAAATTAAAATTAAAATCAGTAGAAGTAGTGCATTTGGTTATATTTATATCTATAATCAATTTTATATTAATCATCGATTTTATATTATATGTATATTTAAATAATCAAGAATAATATTTTTTCATCAAAAATACATGTATTTGTGATATTTTGTAATTATGATTTTTTTTTCTTTTGCACAACTCAGTAAAATGCCATTGCTTATACCGGGCGGTGTAAATGTTACCACCCCTATTATAACAACAACAACAACAGAATCCAAAATAGTATTTTGTCATAAACGAGCTACTTTCCCTATAGTTGCTTAGAATATGAATTTTGAAAATAAATGGCCTATGCCCGATAAAGGGTTAAACTATTACTTTCATATAGCAAAGAAATAGAATAAAAAAACCACTATAAAAACATTGTGCCAACATTTAATTGGATTAAAATATTACTTAAATTGAATATCGAATTAAAACCATCATACCAACGTTTAAAAGAATTAAAATACTTTAAAATAAGTTTTATAGGATATAACTAGTTAACATTAAAACATATGTAGCAATAAATATCTCGGCAATTTTTGAAAACAGTGTATTAATTTTTTTAAATAAAAAATTGAAGTATACAATTCTAAAGTAAAAGAAAAAGATGTGCTTACATTTTTTTGAGAATTTAACCTGTCATGTATTGATAAGCACCACACACACAAAAAAAAAAAAAAAACATTTAGATATTAAAGAAAAAAATTTGAAAAATGTAATATCAAGGACAGTAATTAAAAGTTTCCTGAAATCTAAGGAATTCGAAGAGATAAATAATAAAATTTTAAAATGATGCGGTAATGCACAAATATTCAGAAACCAATTAGGAGCTGATTAGAGCTTGTTAATGCACAAATATTCTATAACCAATCAGGGAGCTGATTACAGCACGCATAGAATTAAAATTATTTAAATAATCATACAAAATAAAATCATTTAAAAAAAATTACAAAATTAAATTGTATTTTAATATTTAATAGCCATAAATAATGTTTAAAACATTAGATTAAATTTATAGATACTAAAACCAATTTCTTTTAAAGTAAGGTGATGTCACTGATTACATCATGTAGAACATAAAATTATATAAAATATCATAAACAATAAAAGCTTTATTTCAAATAAAAATGCAAAATTAAATTGATTTTAAATATTTAGAAGCCATAAATAATATTTAAAATGTGGAATTTATGCATAATAAAACACATTTAAAAAAAAATAAAATGACAACAAAGTATTAGTTACCATAAATAACTTGTCCAGCAATGTGTTTACCATAAGTCGTATTGTTTGCCAAGGGGAAAAAAAAAAAATAAATCGCCAAAATCCGTGCAACCGTCTACCAAAGTAGCACCTTAGAATGTTTTATGCACCACCTTACTCTTGTCATCTTAGAAAGCAACTTTTTTTTAGCATATGCTACTACCAGTATACTTATAGTTTAAAATTACAATTAATTAAAAATCATTCGATTTAATACTGGTATTAAGTAATTAAGCTATCAGGAGAAAAATTATATTGATTTTAATAACTAAAGGCCTTTTAGAGTTTAGATAATTTAACTTCGTAAGGTATTTTCTCCCACCTTATTGCATACTTTTGTGGTGTAACTGGAAGTATGTCTGGGTAGCACTCAGAGGTGGCACTGGATATTTTTCATGTTTTCTGCTTTGACAAACCTAAAGACTCTATACCTTATTAACTAAAAATTAAATAAAAAATGACATAGACATTATTGAAATGGATTAGCCTGCTGATTCTTGCATAGTTGTTTCATGTTTGGATGCATATTGATAAAGATAACAGTAGTCTTAGTACTTTAAATTCCTCTTTTATTGCTAAGACAATGGTGGGAAGTCCTTAGCACGGTGAGCAATAATATGCTTCACAAAGTGTGAACCTTGAGAAAAAGAAGTGACAGACGAATGCTTTGCATAATTTTCAAAGATTTGCAACTATATTGCAATATATGCAGTTAATACAAATTTTGCTTTTTATCTTTTTTGGAAATACAGCAGGACTACAAGGAGAGGTTTTGAGGACCACTTTTGGTCAGTGGATCACGGACTGAGAAATGCTGTATCAACATATCATAGATTGTTTTCAGTTCCCTTTTATGTATGCATTATATTTTATATTCAGAATACAGTTTATTCTCATCTATATACTGTGTAATGCCTGATTAATTTTAACAAAATATCTATATTTTGTATTACTTAGTCTTTCCAACCTAATGTTAGGGGAGGATATTAGTAAATAACCAATAAACTGGTTTTAATTAATAATTTTACCAAACTATTGATAGTGAAAAAGTCAGTAAATTTACAATCCCTAGAAGAAAGCACTATGCAAGGTCCAGTAAGACTGCTTTTTATTCACAAATACACATTTATGACTAAAATCAATGTCAATTCAAATTGATGGGTGGGGGGGGGGAGAATATTTGATGAAAAACTTTTAAAAAATAAAAATCAATGATAAAGCAATTGAATATGATTTCAAGATGGGGGAAAAAAAAGATTTAGGATGATTTAATTTTTTTTACAGTTGACTGCCAAATACTACTTAAACAATTAACTCAAACAATGGGGGGAATGTATTACATTTAGGTTCTATTAGAATGAATGCTTCAGAAAACACGAAACTTAGCAAAGAAATTTCTAAAAAAAAGTCCTCTGTGAAATTATATGTATAAAGCTTGAAAACTTTTATATTCTTAAGAAAGAAGTTTCTGAAGATTATGTGTGAATCATGAAGTTATTTATATTAATTTAGGGAAAAAGATTGTTCTCAGTCATATAAAATTTACCTTTCACGCACTAAAGGTGCAGGTTGCTTCGGTCTAGAAGATGACTTTGGAACTTCTCCATTTGAGCCATCAAGAGATCCTGTCTTTTTATGGCTGACATTTTGGCTGCCCAATGCTTCACTTGGACATGAGGTTGATCTACAACCAAAAAATTCAAGAGAGTTGCCGATACATTATATTTTTTTCCAGTTTTTTTAGAAAATAATACATACTGATTTATATACACAGATGTAACCACAAATAGAAAAACACAATAGATTTGCATTTAAAATTGTAAAAGCTTTAATGAATTCCACAGTATACACTTTATTTACCTTAAAAATACTTTCAATAAAAAGCACCTCACTTCTTAACCATAAGAACCACTTTCATTAAGTGAAATCAGAAACAAATAGTAAAAGTTAATGAACTATGATATCGCATAGAAAATTTCAGATACACTTTTATTAACATTTATCCATTAACACAGTGGTTCTCTAAAAGCAAGGCTTTTTAAAAAAATCTATTAGGATATGGGAGCCAAAAAATGTTCTTTGTTGTACTATAGTAGTGTACAGTTGCTCTCTTGTGATATAGTTTTATCATGTACCTTCAAATTTCGATAAGAAACTTTTATTTTCCTTAACCCTTTGAGGGACAGTACATAAAATAATTTAAATTGTGGTAACATTTTGCATGAACAATAACTTATGGACCCTAAGGACACAAAATTCAGACTTAAAAAAATATCTAGAGTGAAATCCGAAATTTTAAGAGCCAGTATGGTCAAAAGTCGTTAATCCGGACTCGTCGTGACTTCGGCGATTCCGGATTACAGATCATCAGTTTGAATCTGGTAAGATGGCATGCAGAAATTATAAAATTAAAAATATGAAACCGTAATTCATGAAATAAAGAAGCAATTATGATCTAAAGGGTATCAAAATTTACAAAAAAAAAAAAAAAAAAAAAAGCTTAACATTTATTTGTTTACTTTATTAAACATTTCTTTCAATGTAAGTTGTTTAAGTTGCTTCGTTTTTTTATGTGATAATACATTCTCTTTAATTCTATAAACAGACATAATTTCTTGTTCAGTTACAAAGTTCCGCTGTTCAAGTCCTTTAATTGCTGTGTCGAGAATACCGACTAATTTGTCAATCGAAATTTTTTTCGTTTTCAATAACTCTGTGTCACTTTCTTCGCTATCGGAAGCGAATTATAATGACGAGGAATTTAATTTAAATCATATCAAAGATGGAGTACATCGAGATGAAATACTACATTTTTATAAGGAATTATAAGCCAAATAAAATAAAAACATCTGCCCTGAAGATAAGGATAGTGCTGACAGATCAACTTCCAATTCATTGCAGCTTTGCGCTCCCCCCCAAAGAGCAGCGTGAAAGTTTGATAAACAAATTTTAAATGTTTAGATAAACAAAGGATATGCCTTTATCCATTTTTTGCAGCAATTCCACTTTTTGTTTAATGGACTTCGAAACATACTTTCGCTTTGTAGATCCTTTACATTTAGTAATATATATCAGAAATTCTATTTGACATAATCGAAAGTTCAAGCCTACTTTTATAAAATTGCTCTAACATTCTGCAAAAAATAATAAGCCGGATCCAATTCGAAGATTAAGGAACAACGCAATCTACAACATTAACTGAAATAGATAATTAGATAATTTTAGCTTATACTGTCCGTTAGACATTAAACGCCATATGCGCAGTCGTAAAGGTCTTACATGCATGCGTAAACGCCTGTGCGCATGCGTCAACGCGACGTATGCACAGAAAGTTTGTAGCTTTGAGGTCCGGATTATGGGTTTCCGAATTAACGACTTTTGAATATATTTTTATGGCGCCCCCTAAGAATTTTTTTCCACGGTAGCGCAAATTTAATTTTTTTTTTAAAATTAATTTGCCTTTTTGATGTGCATATGAAGAGGGCGCTTCAATATAGTATATAAGTCTGAAGACAAATTTTTAATTTTGGGAGAAATTTAAAATTTTAAAAATTAAATTTATGTGTTTTTAGGCACTTTGATGATGCAACCCGGCTGAACATATTATGTAAAATAAGGGTAAAAAGCTTTGAACTGATTTAAATTCAATATTATTATTTTATAAAAAAAATTAGTAAATATGAATGCAGCATAAATCATATCATCTGTAACTGAAATAGTATAATATTACAAGGAGATATAACAGCCAAAAAATTAACCAAAAAAAAAAATAAATAAAATAAAAAAAATAAATAAATAAATAAATAAAATAAAATAAAATAAAACGCTAGGACTCGGATGAGAAAGTATGTTGCATTTTTGAAGTCATATTTTATGCTTTAGATAATATGTAAAAAAACCATGGTTCATGCTATGATACCAAGAATCCCCTCCACACACACACTTTAGATTATCAAGGACCGTAAGAGCTCCTTTTTTACTTCCTTGTATGAAATAAAAAGGAATCGCGAAAAGTTTCAGGCAACATATTTCAACGAAAATATCCATTCTGACCGCTATCGAATGCAATTTAACGATGTTTTTGCATGATATCTGTACATAAGGACAGAATAAAAGACGCTTTTCCTGCAAATGACTCTCGAATGACAAATCAGTTGTCAATCACCTCCTTTCATTTCTTTGGATTTTAGGATTTTGGAAAACACTAAGCAACGGGTGTCTTTTGGGGACTAACATGCCACATTTAAAACCAGATGGCAATTTTGAAATCGATGAGTCTTTCTCTTGGGAAAGGGTGAAGTGCTGAAGTTAAAATTTTAGCTAAATAGAGATGAATGAAACTCCCGTTGAGTAAAAAAGAATAAAAAGAAACAATAATTGTATTGAGTCCTAGCGCAGGGTCAGTAAACTCCCCATCCTTTCATGAACATAATACTGAATCCTAAACAACTTGTAAATTAATCATAAACAAACTATTACATCATAAACTATTATAATGTAAAGAAATGCTGTCATCTCACACAGTAGAGAGGGAGAAGCCTGGTGCTGCCATCTATTGGCAAGGTACCCTCAGTAGGGGTGCCAGTATATATTATATACCGGTATTAAAAACTTATATGTAATCTTCTTTTAATTATCAGCTTTGATTGAAATGCAGTAAATATAAAAGGTTCAGCATGTGTATATCTTATAGTTACAGATTTTGAATTTTTTCTTTCCCTCCAATAGAATTTATCAATCTTCAAACATGAAACCTTGGAAAGAAGTATATTCATTTCATAACTGCAAAATATTGAGAATTCATAGGGTGGTGCTGCCAATCAGAATCGAAAGGAAACACTAGAAACTTGTGATTACAGCTTTTGGTGTAGAGAAATTAGAATTTTTTCCAAGGTTAAAAAATTGACAAACAACCGGTATATATTATATACCGGTGGCCGGGTTAAAAGAGGATACAAAGATGTAGAAGATTTTGCTGATGCTGATTTTTTAGTAAAATTGGCATAGTTATGGCACGTTTTTGAAAAGCTGAATTCCCTTAATCCCTCTCTGCAGGGAAAAAACATGCAACTTTTGAAATCAAAAGAAAAAAATTCATTCCAGCTTTTATTAAAAAAAAATAAATAAATAAAACTGTGGAGAAGAAAAATGAATGAAGATGCAAGCAAAGATTGCTTTTTAATATCGCAACAATTTTTGACATCAAATGAACTTACCTTTCTCAAGATGTAAAAACCATGTTTATGCATTTATCACAGCTAATTAATTATCTGGTTTCAGAAATACTTTCAAAACGAAAACTTTGTTGGTTTACATGGATTCAAGATTCATTTAACACTAGTGTAGGGCATCATGGAAAAATTTTAATTGAAAAGAGGTGCTGCGAATCAGAAAAGTTTGGAAGCCACTTTATTAACAGACAATGCAAAAAACTCCATTACATGGGAATAAATAGAGAAATGAGAGGGGTTCTTGTTTCGCACTGGCAAATAAAAATAAAATTTTTGTTTTTTCTACTTCGAATGGATGATTTCTTATATATATGTGGCTTAAATGTTTGTTGCCGATAGTTTATTGGTTGCTCGCATAGCTATAAATTGTTTTATTCCCCGTGCAGTGCAGCGCATAACGAATATTATGAGAAAGCTAAGTCCGAAAAATTAAAAATACAAGAGCATGTGCATTTAACATTTAATAAATAAATTTAACATCTATATATAATAGAATTCAGAAATATGCAACAGGCAAAAACCGGCAACGATGAAAAAACAAAATGAAATAAATAAATGTCTTTATTATATGCGGCTTAAGTGTCTGTCACTGATAGTTTATTGATTGCTTGCCTAACTGTACTAGCCAATGAGTGAAGTTGCCACGGCACAGGGTTGCTGTTTCAATTGAGATGTAAACAATTTCCTGTAAAACTTGCCTTTGCTATGACCATCAATAAGTCTCAGGGCCAAATGCTTAAGCGTATTGGCATTTTTTTACTTGAGCCTGCATTTGGACACAGTCAACTTTACGTCACATGTTCAAGAGTTCGTGAAAGAACAAACGTAAAATAAAAAATAATTGATGATCATTTTTAAGCTCACCTCTGCAAGGTGAGCTTAAAAATGATGGAAAGATCTACACAAGAAATGTTGTGTACAAAGAGATCTTTGACATGTGAATTAACATTTTATTATTTAAATCACCTTTATTTATTGAGCTAGTGATGACTCTTAAGAAATGTACTGCCAGTGGTTTCCTTCATTGCGTTCTACTTTAAGCAATTAAGCAAGTAGAACCTCGTGGGGCAGAGGCGTCTTCGCCGCCTGCCCTGGGTAATTCGGTTTAAATTAGCAGACACCTTTGCACAAATCATTTTAATTACAATTTGTAATATCTAAAACAGTGGTCATTTCGTATGACTGCCGGGCTTTCTAGTAGGATAATATTTATATTGGATTTATATTGCATTAGCACACATTTTTCTATTTAAAAAATTGGTTATTTTCAGAAACAATGTGCCAATTCTTTTCCCAGATTAATTCTACACCTCAAGTTATGTTTAAATACAAAATTTTGTCAAAATCATATTGCAGTTATTCTGCTTTAATGACTGACAAATAAATTTCAGTTCCATTGTAAAAGTATCATTTGGTGGATTCTGACCATGGTCTATTTTTAACAATTCTTTACTGAACAAGGACTTACTAACCTGTTTCTGAACTCTGTTCATTAATTCTACATTTTAATAGATGTACTTTTGTTGTTTTGATAAAAACAATAACCTTCATATATTAAAAACAATTGACATACCAGAGAAATAAGCAGAATATTATTTCTGAAGAGAAATTCCATTCATTTATAAACAAAATTTGATGCTTAGGATTGTATAAATAAAACAGAACAGGACACATAAAAGTGAAGAATTTGAACTTAATGGCTGATAAAAGTATGCAGACAGAAGATAACCATGTACAAAATATCTTTTAAGTAAGAACCATGTACAAAATATCTTTTAAGTAAGGTAGAGAATATCTGTAACAGCTCACTGAATATTTCCTCTCTGAAATTTGGCTAATTTGATATCAACAGAATCTTTAAAATAATACAAGCTAATATAATAATAAAAGTCAATTTGGAATACATATTTCATAGTGACAACTATCCCTACAAACAACTAGTATTTCTGAGAATAAAATTAAATAATGGAATTAAACATCATTGATAGTCATGTTTTCTAACCATCTCCAATCATAATTTACCAATAAGTTTTCACAATATCGGGCATATCAAGACTTTCATTGCTTATAAAAGTTTTGCTTTTTGAAGCACAAAAAAATTGTTTTATTTTAACAAATATGAAAAAGAACATTATGTTCTACTGTTAAAATGCAATAAACAGATTATCTAGATTACTTGTATGCAACTGTTTCTTACTCCTGGATTGATCAAAGTACACAAGTTGATGAATTTATATCTTGAACCCTTTTATTACCAATCCTGAGCCATTCAGATATTTTTGTCTTCAAAATCACTAAAGAAAAAACTTTGCACATATAATTGTCATCACATTAACAGAACTCTGAAAAGAGTTGTTGCAGCAGAGCATTCTCATTAGCTGAGTAGCACTTGAGATACAAAAATTGACATTGCTTAAATTTATGTCAATTTACAGAAATTACATGCATAGAATATACAGCAAACTTTTATCTTTTCCATATCAGGTGATGCATGATACAGCAATTCCAAGCAAACATGACATAAGCAGCTGCCTAAGGTTCCAATTTTCACAAATGACTGTGTAAGGTAGGTTCTGCTTTGAACTAATAACATGTAATATGTTTCACTGTGAATTAAGTATATGGATCATTTAGGGTGGCGAAAATGCTGGAGATGGGCAAGGTATTTTATAAAAAATAATTCTGCAAGCAAATGAAATCTGCTCCTTTTTGAAGTACCTAATATGTATGTTACCTGGATGTCCTATTACATGTATTTTAGTTTCATCAGTGTCTCAGATAATCCACCAGGTCTTGTAATTAATTGCCCTCAGATATGAGACACTACTATATGTAGTACTAATAAATTTATAAGACTTACCTAACGTGAACAGCTGACAGAGACTGCTGAGATGATGATGTCCCATCCACAAATGATGGATTATCGCAAGAGTAATCTGAAGGTGGGGGAGATTTTGATTTCCGTTTCGTCAGCCGTTTCATCAAACTCACAATTTCTTTTTCTTTCTTTTCTTTGTGCTTTGAGAGAAAAAATATTAGCAAAAATTTTAAAAGCTTTAAAAATTAATTATATATTTAAAAATTTTTGTATTACATAGTATACGAAATATATCACAAACATGACACAAGAGCAGACAACACACAAGTAAATGATAAATATTCGAATTAATTCTACAAAAGAGTTTTTTTCATTATATTAAATATTCATTTCATACATTTCTTTAGATCTTTGCTATATCTGCAATATTTTCCAAATTTTTTCTTGAAAACACTGTAGTAATAATTGAATTTGGGAATACTAAATAATATATATATATAAAGTATAAAATAAGAAAATAAATCTCTAATAAATTACTAATTTAATAAGCAATAGCTCTTTTAATTTTCACATGTCCCCTCCTAGCATCTGCAATGCATCAAAATTTCTCCCGAATATGTCATTTCTAGACCAAGCCTTACATGTGACTTAACACAACCCTGATGATGTAACTAATTCGGAACTTGAATTCAAAATTTCGAGTACCGAAATCTTTTTCTTAATAGGCTGCCATATTGGATAAATGTGCACTTTTGCTTCTAGTTCTCTTATTGTTTAGAAACTGGCATGCTGCTTTTCTTCCTATTGCAACAATATCAAAAATGTAAATGTTCTTAAATAGGCACAGTTAGAATGTCAAGTGAATTTGTGACCACAGATGTCAATTGAAATAAAGATGAATATTTAATCTTCCAAGTTTACTCTTTATTGTGGATCTACGTTCTGTGCCATAATACAGCTATGCCTATTTCATTATAATAATGAAATGCCATGTTTCTTCACCTACGTCATCAACTGTCTCTATAAAATTCATTACTTCTAAGACTGTTCTCATTACACAAACATATGCAATTCCTCTTCTCTATTCTAAAAATCATAACATTTCTGGACTGCATAATTTCTAGATCAATCCATCTTGCATCGCTTGCAGATCGCTGATAATATAACTAATTCAGAACCTAAACTCACAATTTTGAGAATTGAAACCTTTCTAACCTAAACCAAAATCTCCTCTTTGTGAGCCTCTTTATTGGATAATTGTGCACCTTTAGCTTCAGCTCTGTTGCAGTCAAGTTGCTACTTCCCTCCGTTTGCTTTCTTGTGCTACTAACTATACCATTATCTAAAATGCGATACTTTACATAAAATTGTGAGGTGCGTATTGTGCCCGTGATCATGTGTAATGAAGAATATATTTTCAATAATTAGTTCATATCCAGCAAACAAAAGTATATTCAATTCGGCCATGCCTGTCTACAAGTCTCTCCTTCGAGTTCATCTTTGCATCTACAAGTCTTTAACTGCGCAGTGGGGTTTCCAACTCTTTTACTAAATTAATTGTTGCATCCTGGACCAAACTTAAATCCAGACCTCTTAAAACTTATGCTTAAATTTCGAATTATTACTGAATTCCATTTATTGCTGACATGCATTTCTTCAAATTAGCCTAGTATAGACTAATCATGGCATTGTAAGTTTTGTGTGGTTAGATGATTTCCAGATAATATATCTCATATTCAACCAAAAACTCTATGAATAAATAGAGTCCTATTTAGTATTATTTCCAGTCCATTTCTTTTAGTTGCTGGAATAAAATTCCACTCTAAACAACATGCGGCTATGTATACAGATGCTTGTTTGATGTTAAACGAATAGACGTATGTTAACAATTTGTCAATCAGGAAATTGAGAGCTCCTGATTGTTAAATCAAGAGCACTGAATAAGAAGCTTAGACTTTGAAAATCCAGAAGTAATTCTGCATGGCTTGAAAACTTGTGGGCTAATTCTGACTTCTAAACAAATACACTGCGCTCCCTTCCCCCAAAAAAAAGGAAGAAGAAAAGGGGACAGTTCTATATCTTCCGTTCTACAGTGCCAATCGACAAAATTCAAATTGCATTTTTCATATCTCGAAAGCACAACTTAGGATATGCATTAGATTTATGCATAGCATGGCTCTATAGTTCGACCGTCTCAATCGCAACCCTGGTTGGCATTCTGCCAAAACACTTAGATTCATCAAAAAGGGGCAGTATTACTTGCTGTGATGTGAAAGGTCTTTTCTTCTCCAGAAAGAGCTATGCTGGAAGGAAAGAAAGTCCCCACCCTTCCATCCTATTTCAGAATAATTTGGTCCGAATGGTGCATGCGTGTTTGCGCTCATGGTCGCGGATGAGGCGGTTGAACTATAATATAGGTATTTTGACACAAAATCGGACTTTTTCTGAAATAACATACCAATTTTTTTCTGTATTTCAATTCTACGACTCAAACTTCACCAAACTACCATGTTTTGTAAAAATTGCACGAATAGTTTTTAAAAAATTAGCTCTCAAAATTTTAGCTCCTCAATGTTAATTGAATTTGATATGTATTTATTAACATAATTTTTTTTATTTAACTTATTTGATTTTTCCTTTCACATATTGAAATTCAGATTCATTCCAAATAAAATGCACCCATGTTTTATGAATTATTCTTAAAATTTGTATTTTAAAATAATTTTTGTAAATTTAAAAAAAAATTTTAATTATAATCTATACAAAGTTTACCATCATCCTAAAGTAGATGTATTTTAAGTTAGTCAAAAATTAGAGCTTTTTATTCAAAATTTTCGAAGATATACGTGAATCTATATATTGGCACGTTTTGAAATTTGGCATATTTGTTGAAAGCAAAAAAACATCAAATGTGGTTTAGAAACTTTGCCAAAATTATCTGAAAGTAAGAATGATGCGACTTCTTTTTTGTTCTTGAACAATGTAAAAAGGTAAGAACGAGAAGCCTTTTTTCCCGCTCCGGCATAATGGAAGGGAAAGGAAAATTGGTGGCCCTATATTAAGAAATTCACCAAGTAAATTATTATTGGCATAATCTGAAAAAATTGCGACAAGATAAGTTTTTGAATTTCTCCATAAATTTCACACCAAATTTGACAAAATTTAATACCTAGGCATAGTTTTGGCCCCATTGCAGAATGAATTTTGGAGATGAAACCTCATTTTTGGTCACCATGATAGCTTTAACTTTGTTTTAGCTTCCTGATTTTTTTAAAAATGAAAATAGATTGATGTGTACATGGACAATTTTAAGGCAGTGCACTATGCTTAGTTTGTGCAATTCTGGGATTTCTTTTAAGTGAAAACAGATCGATGTGTACATGGACACAGAGTTTGTGCAATTCTTTGACTTCTTTTTTGGTTTTATGTAGCGACCATCTTGAAATTGTGCCTTCCTGGTGTCAAACAAGAATCGCCAAAAAACAAAAGGCACCCAATCGTAAACTTTTACCATAATTTGAGTTGTAGATTCGAAATATGGAAAATAAATGGTATGTTATTTAAAAAAATAAAAAATAAAAAAAAAAACCCACAAAATACCTATGTTAGAACAATGGTATATATAAATCTAATATATCCTAAGTGGCACTTTCGAGACATGAAAAATGCAACTTGAATTTTGTCGATCAGCACTGTAGAACGGGAGATACAGAACTGTCCCCCCTTCTTCTTCTTCTTTTTTTTTGGGGGGGGGAGAGGGGCGCAGTGTATTTGTTTAGAAGTCAGAATTAGCCCACAAGTTTTCAAGCCATGCAGAATTACTTCTGCATTTTCAAAGTCTAAGCTTCTTATTCAGTGCTCTTGATTTAATAATCAGGAGCTCTCAATTTCCTGATTGACAAATTGTTAACATACGTCTATTCGTTTAACATCAAACAAGCATCTGTATACATAGCCGCATGTTGTTTAGAGTGGAATTTTATTCCAGCAACTAAAAGAAATGGACTGGAAATAATACTAAATAGGACTCTATTTATTCATAGAGTTTTTGGTTGAATATGAGATATATTATCTGGAAAATCATCTAACCACACAAAACTTACAATGCCATGATTAGTCTATACTAGGCTAATTTGAAGAAATGCATGTCAGCAATAAATGGAATTCAGTTAATTCGAAATTTAAGCATAAGTTTTAAGAGGTCTGGATTTAAGTTTGGTCCAGGATGCAACAATTAATTTAGTAAAAGAGTTGGAAACCCCACTGCGCAGTTAAAGACTTGTAGATGCAAAGATGAACTCGAAGGAGAGACTTGTAGACAGGCATGGCCGAATTGAATATACTTTTGTTTGCTGGATATGAACTAATTATTGAAAATATATTCTTCATTACACATGATCACGGGCACAATACGCACCTCACAATTTTATGTAAAGTATCGCATTTTAGATAATGATATAGTTAGTAGTGCAGCAAAGCAAAGGGAGCGAAGTAGCAACTTGACTGCAGCAGAGCTGAAGCTATCCAATAAAGAGGCTCACAAAGAGGAGATTTTGGAGGAGATTCCTCCATGGCCTAATGTTATCAGATTGCATATAACTTCATGGAAATTTGAGTTAATTCAGAAGACTTGAAAATTCAGAAGAAAACTACAGGATAATTTACATGAATTGTCACATTAATACCAAAACTAGTTCTCAGTATAGAAAAATGCAGTAAACTTTTGAGGTTGTATCGAGTTACAGGCTGGCTAAAACATTTATATATAATGCAAGAAGAATCAGTGAGAAGAAAGAGAGGTCCCCTAACCTTGGAACTGTCATAAGCAGAAATTTATAGGGTGAAAACCATGCAGTCAAAGAATAAAGAATTGTAAAGAAGAAAGAATTCAACCGCTTAATGACGAGTTTAACTGTGATAACAACAAAGGTATGTCAGCTTTTAGAGTTTGTTTCAGAACTAAATGAAAAGAACTGATATGAATAAAGGGAAGACAACAATTTTCAATGAAAGAAAAACACACATGGTTAATACCTGGAGGAATCAAGTATGCAGAAACTCTTAATTATGGATGCGCACAATAAGCTTCTACATTCAGGAATAGCTGAAACACTGGCTGAACTACAAAGCACATTTTGGATTCTCAGAGGAAGGCAGAATGTTACATCTGTTTGAACAAATTCTTAATATGCATAAGGTA